AAGAAAAGGCCAAAATAAACAGAAAAAAGGGAGCTGTGAGAAAACACTGACAATGTGGGGAGTGTGAGGGTGACACAGAGATGATACGAAAAAAGAATCTATATTATCAATCAATCAATATTATTCCCCAGTGAGCCCACTGTAAATAAACAGATTTAACAAAATCTATTCTCATTCTTTCGGTACTTCCCCGGTGGCAAGTCAATCCTAAAGGAAATCAACCCTGAATATTCATTAGAAGGACTGATGCTGAAGCTGATGCTCCAATACTTTGGCCATCTGATGCAAAGAGCCAACTCATTGGAAAAGACCCTGATGCTGGGAAAGACTGAAGACAGAAGGAGAAAAGGATGACAGATGAGATGGTTGGGTGGCATCACTGACTTAATGGACATGAGTTTGAGCAAGCTCCGGGAGATAGTGAAGGACAGGGAAGCCTGACACATTGCAGTCCATGAAGCTGCAGAGTCAGACATGACTTAGTGACTGAACAACAATTCCCCTTCTATCAAATAGCATTTCTCTTCTTTCCATGCAAAACTTTCATGACCACAGACTGTATGTAATGACTCAACTGTAATAAATACTTCCGCATCCTAAAAAATTCAATATGGCCATCATCGTGTCAAGTCAACAACTTAAACTTGGCAGCGGCACTCCAGGGTCACGTCCCCCAACTCCACCAACCCAGACAGCTCACCATCACCAAACATGTCACAACAGTTTAGAAGATCAAACTGAAATACAAGATCAAGAATATATTCAAAGCTAAGAAGAAAATGTGTTCTGTTGATTAAAAACAAAAGACAACAACTAGTTCTTTTCAAGAATGTACAGAGGGAACACAGTATTGGAAAGTCCAGTGTTCTTCGGAGTGGTCTTTCTGTCCTGTTCTTCCAACCAAAATCTTATTATCTTTTACAGTTTCTCACAATGGCATGATGTTCCAATGGGGAACATGATGAACTTTCTTTATTTTGAAAAACTAAAAATATCAAACATTCACATGTAGGATTCCCAAAACTCTGAACACTACTCTCGTATATAACACCAATATTTAAGAGTTCACAGAAAGATTTTTTTAACTTATGGGGACTTTCCTAGAGGTCCAGTAGCTAAGACTCTGTGCTCCCAATGCAGGGGGCCCAGGTTCAATCTTAGGTCAGGGAACTAGATCCCACATGCTACAACTAAGAGTTCACATGTTGCAACTTAAAAAAAAAAATATCCCACATGTTGCAAGGAAGACTGAGGATCCTCAGTGCTGCAACTAAGAACAGTAGAGTCAAATGAATAAATAAAAATAAATATTAAAAAAGAAAGAAAAAAATACAACTTATAGAAAAAGGCTACAAATGTGGGTCTCTGCTATTAAAAAATGAATACCATAAGAGATAAAATTAAAGTCTTCTGAGAGGCCTTAGTACTAGCCTTCTCAAGTAAAAGTTCCTGTTTGGGATTTCTATTTTAATGAAAAGACCAATAAAGCCTATTTTGTTCATATCTCTAAAGAGTGATTTCTTCAGTTTTTCTCTCTCAAGCTATTTATTTGGCAGTACCAATCAAATCCTATGCTAAGTGTGGGTTTCTATTATATATCCTTTCCAACATAATTTAGCAGAGGTGTGATTTTCATTTGAGAAAACAAATACAAGTTCTGTGTCTAATCTATAGAGTCCCATGAAGGAAACTGATTTCCTAATATTTTCCTAATATGACTAAATGTAATTCAATTATTTATTCTGTACCCAGGAAATAACAAACTAGGTGCTAAGAAGCTGAATTTAGAAAAGGCCAAGGAGTGCTCGCTTCGGCAGCATATATACTAAAATTAGAAAAGGCCAAGGAACCAGAGATCAAATTGCCAATATCTGTTGGATCATAGAAAAAGCAAGAGAATTCCAGAAAAACACCTACTTATGCTTTACTGACTACACCAAAGCCTTTGACTGTGTGGGTCACAACAAACTGTGGAAAATTCTGAAAGAAATGGGAATACCAGACCACCTGACCTGCCTCCTGAGAAATCTGTATGGAAGTCAAGAAGCAACAGTTAGAACCAGGCATGGAACAACAGACTGGTTCCTAGTTGGGAAAGGAGTACATCAAGGCTATATATTGTCATCCTGCTTATTTAAGTTATATGCAGAGTACATCATGCGAAATGCCAGGATGGATGAAGCACAAGCTGGAATCAATATTGCCAGAAGAAATATCAATAACCTCAGACACCCAGATAATAACACCTCTATGGCAGAAAATGAAGAGGACCTAAAGAGTCTCTTAAGGAAAGTGAAAGAGGAGAGTGAAAAAGCTGGCTTAAAACTCAACATTCAGAAAATGAAGATCATGGCATCTGGTCCCATCACTTCATGGCAAATAGATGGGGCAACAATGGAAACAGTGAGAGATTTTCTTTTCTTGGGCTCCAAAATCACTGCAAACGGTGATTGCAGCCATGAAATTAAAAGATGCTTGCTCCTCGGAAGAAAAGCTATGACCAACCTAGACAGCATATTAAAAAGCGGAGACATTACTTTGCCGACAAAGGTCTATCTAGTTAAAGCTATGGTTTTTCCAGCAGTCAGGTATGGATGTGACAGTTGGACCATAAAGAAAACTGAGCGCCGAAGAATTGATGCTTTTGAACTGTGGTGTTGGAGAAGACTCTCAAGCATCCCTTGGACTGCACGGAGATCAAACCAGTCAATCTTAAAGGAAATCAGTCCTGAATATTCACTGGGAGGACTGATGCTGAAGCTGAAACTCCAATACTTCCGGCCACCTGATGTGAAGAACTGAGTCACTGGAAAAGACCCTGATGCTAGGAAAGATTGAAGGCAGGAGAAGGGGACAGCAGAGGATGAGATGGTTGGATGGCATCACTGACTCAATGGACATGAGTTTGAGCAAGCTCCCGGAGTGTGTGATGGATGGGGAAGCCTAGCGTGCAGCAGTCCATTGTGTGCAAAGAATTGGACATGACTGAGCAACTGACCTGAATTGAAGAAGCAGTGGAGGCCAAGAAGACCATTTTTCCCAAAGAAATCAAGATATCTGAAGCAAAGGACCAGTTGCTGTTGGGTTTTTTCTGATTTCTAATTCATTGTAGACCAACAATTTTTAAGACATAATTAAAACAACTTTCTAGGGAAAAAATGACATACAAAGTAAAATCCCAAATGTTTTATTACTACGGTCAACAAATATAAAATGACTTTGCTAAACTGCTACACAAATTTCTCAGTCTTAGTTTCTCTCTTTCAACCCCCACAGCCTGCAAACCACGCTTTCAAGAAGCACTGCTGTAAACTCGTATCAGTTTGAGAGGCATTGCTTTCAACTCCTTAATTTAAGATACAATGATTCACCCTTGAAGGACAAGGAATTTTTGTATTTTTATTTACTTACATACCTTTCCAGACACCAGTTTCAAGTCTGGGCAAACAATTCTAGTCTCCTGCTACTTAACAGCAATCTTGATTCATCTTTGAGATTCTTACCTCATTTCTAAAAAGAAAATAATGATTTTTCCCAAATTACATAGCAACTATGAAATTTGTTATCTTCTTACATTTCTGTATCCCTTTGGTTCTATACACTTCAACTTCTTAAAAAAAAATCACTGCTTAAAACAAAGTACTTTGTGTCTAGAATTATAAGGGAGACTATGAAAAGTATCATTGTGTTCTGATTAAGACTCATAAAAGAGATAAGAAGCACATAGTGGCTGAAGGAGAAAATCCACCTTTCATCTGTCCTTTCAGGTGGGGTAAGGGGTGGGGTATGGGGTGGGGTATGTGGTGGAGAGGTGGGCAATGTTCATGCACAGGTGAACAGGTCTCTGTTCCGGTCCTAAAACCAGAATGAGGAAGTCCTCAAACCAAAAAAAAATGCTCAAAGCATTCTTTTGGCTGGACCTGCTCCTGGGCAACCCCTGCGGCTGAAAAACACTTCTAAGGGGATGGGAAGAGGTGTAGGAACCAAGCAAATGAGGGAGTCCAGTGCTGCTGGGAATGGATTAGGTAACTAACAGCTTCTGTACCCCTGAAATTACTAACATAAATATGTTGAGGGTCTTCCCTGGTGAGCCAGTGGTTAAGAGTCAACACTCCCAGTGCTAGGGGCCTGGTTGGGGAACTAGATACTGCATGCTGCAACTAAGACTTGGCATAGCCAAATAAGCTTTTTTTTTTTTTTTTTTTAAGATGTTGGTGTTGGAAAGAAGAGTAAATAAAAACATCATATGGAATTCACATTATTTTTTGTTTCCTGGCAACTGTCAGAAATCAACACTTCATGGAAACAAGATCAGAGGAATACCAATCTGTTCCTTGCCTTACTAGTAACAACTAATGACTTGGTAGGTTTCTCAAACCGGAAAAAGATCTTTTCATGAACTGTCAAAGACGGAAAGGAGAAAGGTAATGACAACACAGCCTTCAAAATTTGTGCAATACTTATATTCCTGGAAATCAGTTGCTCTGCACTTTGAGAAGCAGTTCATGATGACAACTGAATGACAAACATAAAGTTAAATTCCATTAAGTCTTGAAAATCTCAAATGTAAATAAAGACAGGGTTGGAGGTCTATCAAGGAAGTGCAGGAAAAACCAAGCAAATAAAAAATCATCCTCTCTGGCTGGATTCGCGTAGCCAGCCCTGCCCCGCCCTGCCACTCACCGCAGTGCCACCCAGGTAAGGCCAGAGAGCCGAATCCTCAGGTGAGCGGAAGCGAGTGAGTGATCCGAGATCACAATCCGAGCCCCTAATGTCTTCAGCCAGGACTGAAAGAGCGCGCAGGTTTAAGGCTGGCCCGGGGAGGGAAGGCGGGGATCTGGCCAGTCCAGGCTCGCCGCTCAGGACTGAGGGCCCGCGGTGCCGCAGGTGGCCGCGTCCAGGCTAGATAGGCGGTCCAGACCTCTCGCCCCCCCAGCGACCAGATCCCGGGTGCCCTGCGCGACCTAGACCCGCTGCCCCGACGCCCGCTCCCCGGTCACCTTCTGCGAGCTGGAGCCGCAGATCCGTGCCGCGCGGTCATAGACGTGGCAGCGAATCACCGAGCTGCCTACGTCCATCCCCAGCACGAAGCCTGCGCGCCGCCAGTCCGGCGCGCTCTGCTCCGGGATCGTAGGCTGTTCTGACATCCCGACCCGCACACCTCTCTGCCGTAGCCGCCAGCTAAGCCGACGCGCTCTAAACTCCCGCACCTCAGGGTCCGAGCGCGCCCCGCCGGCCACAGCCCCGGGTCCGCCCGGGTCCACAAGATCCGGCAGCGGCCCCGCCCCTGCCGCGGGCCCCGCCCCGACGCCGTGACGTCACGACTGCGCAATGACTCTTTGCTGGAGAGCCCGCGGGCGACGCGGCCGCGCGGGTAGTGTGAACGGGAAGGTGGTGGGTCCCCGGAGTCCTGGCCACCCGGCTCCGCCCCGTTTTCCAAACACTAGCCTTTCTCAAAGTTACCTTGGCCCGTAATTTTAATGATTTCCCTCCTAACTCTAAGCGCCCTGCGACAGTGCCCGCATTTCTTTTAACTGGTTACATATTATGAATCTATTAAGAAAAATAGTAACCTGAAAAGAAAAAAATTCGGCCGAAGGTATTTATTCATAAACTGAAAGTTTCTCCCCAGGACTTATCCCCCAGAAAACCTGGTCAGGTTTGCTAAATGAAATAACACTCTACAACTTCCCCAGCCCTCTGGTGGGGCAAAAGGGACAAAGTGCTGGGTGGCTGTTTTTACCATGAACCTCCACCCCCAATGACTGCTTTTTCAGGAGTCTGAAGGTCCCTCGGGGGGTCCTTTACCTTTCACTCGGGCTTTAAGTGCGTGGGCTCTTTAACGCATGGGGCAGGAAGGAGGCCTGTGGAAATTTCCAGTTTCCTGCAGCTCTGGTCACCAGCCTGGAGCCCAGGGGGATTACCATGTGGCGGTCCAGCTCCCAGTTACTTATCTGTGGACAGTGAGGCAGTGTTCATGTCTTCTTCAGCTACTTTTCCACCAGCACTACAAAAAACCCAGTGCCTGAACATATTCAATGTCTTTTAATAAAATTATGAAAGTAATATGGATATGTGCTCTTGGTGAAAAAGTTTTAAGAGTGTAAAGTGGTATATTGATTAAAAAGCAAAAGATACTCGTTTTGAACCAAACAGTTCTTTTGACCAACTTGTCATGTTAACCCACTTGCTTTCAGCCCATTTGACCAAATTGGGGTCTTTGGCCATATTACTTGAAACTTGGAACAAGCACCTGGAAGAGTATGGTTTGGGTTTTTGTCTTTGTATCCTGTTCTTGTCTAGAAAGGAGAAAGCTTAGTCGCTCAGTCGTGTCCGACCCGTTGCAACCCATGGACTGTAGCCCTCCAGGCTCCTCTGTTCATGGGATTTTCCAGGCGAGAATACTTAAGTGGGTTGCCATTTCCTCTTCCAGGAACCCTGTTCCTGCCTAATAGTACTAATGTGTTCCAAATGGTCCCGGGTCTGCTTTCACCAGTGCTGGCCATTTGGTGAGTCATCTACTATGTTAATCCCCATATTGTAATTTGAAATAAATGACTAATGGGTCATGGAGTCCGGCCAGAGTTCAATTAGAAACAGAGCTAATAGGATAAAGATTGAGAAAAAGATTGAGACATATTTTAAGGAACTGGCTCACATGCTTCTGAGGACTGGCAAGTCCTAGAACTCTTTAGGGCAGGCTGAAAGTCTAGAACTTCAGATAAGAGTTGATGTTACAATTTGAGTCTAACGTCTGCTGACAGTAAGCTGGAAACTCAGGTGGTTTTCCTACCTTGCAGTTTTAAGGACAGTTCTTCTTTGGGAATGCTCAATCTTTGCTCTTAAGGCCTTCAACTAATTGGATGAGACCAACCAACATCATGAAGGGTCATTTGCTTTACTCAAAGTTTATTGATTTATTTTTTTAATTTATATTTATTTTTGACTGTGCTGAGTCTTCATTGCCGTGCAGTCTTTTCTGTAGTAGCAGTGAGCAGGGTCTACTCTAGTTGCAGTGTGTGGACTTCTCATTGCAGTGGCTTCTTTTGTTGTGGACCACAGGGCTTCCCTGGTGGCTCAGACAGTGAAGAATCTGTCCGCAATGCAGGAGACCTGGATTCAATCCCTGGCTTGGGGAGATCCCCTGGAGAAGGGAATGGCTACCCACTCCAGTTTTCTAGCCTGGAGATTTCCATGACAGAGGAGCCTGGCAGCCTACCGTCCATGGGGTGGCAGAGTGGGACATGACTGAGTGATCTTTCACTCACTTCAGGGACCCTAGGGGCCGCAGGCTTCAGTAGTCGAGGTTCCTAGACTCTAGAGCTCAGGCTCAGTAGTTGTGCTGCACAGGCTTAGTTGCTCCACAGCATGTAGGATCTTCCTAGATCAGGGGCCGAAGCTGTGTCTCCTGCATTGGCAGGTAGATTCTTTATCACCCAGCCACCAGGGAGGCCCTCAGAATTCATTAATTTAAATGTTAATCACATCTAGAAAATATCTGACATCTAGGTTGATGCTTGTCCAAACAATTGGGCACCCACACAGTGTGCCCACTAGCCTGGTCTATATGAAGTTAACCACCACAGATACCCTTTCACAAGAGAAAGCTGTTTTGTATTCCCTGATATGAATATTTAGTATATTTCTCAAAGTGATAATTCTTGGGCTTCTTGGACACCTGCACTTTACTGTGTGATCATTTTTATACATTCACATCAAATATCTTGAGTATTATCAAAGAATCACAGACTATGAAAATAGGGGGATGCACACGTGATCTCAGAAACATGGTTTCTGGGAAGCTACTGCTTTTCTAAGAAGCCGTGGTGGTGGGGTGCGATGCACAGGAGGGAGGAGAAAGGAACTAGAAGTCCCGAGTCCATTTGCTGATCTGGCCTAGTTAGAGCTGAGAGTGGGAGAAGAGAGAGCTCGGCTTCCTTCAAAAGGGACGAACTTACCTTGAGAAGATGACAGTAGTGAAGAGCGCGTTTATCTTCCACGTGGCAAGGGCTCCTCTGTCTATGAGTTTAAAGGCCATAGGGTCTGCAGTGAGGCCTGCTGTGCTAGTAGTGGTCACTGGGATGGTCCTTTACTCCTGGATGAGGAACACTGAAAGATCATGCTCTAAGAGGTCTTAGGTTGACCACAGGTAAAAATGAACAAGAACCCTAAAATGTATTGAAAGAAATCCTCTCCTAGGCCCCTGTAGATTGGAGAGTCCACCTTCCTGGGGTCAGGAATTCTTTGAAGCAACGTTTTATCTTTGGGGTTTGAAGAAAATCAACTTGTGGGCAAAAAAATAAATTCGTTGAAAACACACACATACACAAAATAGGGGGCTTAGAAACCACTTAGTCTTATGTTTCTTAGTCTGTTTCTGATCTTGAACAACTTTAAAAAAATTTTTTAAATATTTATTTAGCTGCACTGGATCTTAGTTGCAGCATGAGGATCTTTAGTTGTTTCATGAGGAATCTACTTCCACAACCAGGAACTGAACCCGGGCCCCCTGCATTGGGAGCTTGAAATCTTAGCCACTGGACCACCAGGGAAGTCCCTTGAACAACTTCAAGACCCTGGTGTATGCTGTCTTCTCAAGAACTTGCTTATATACACAATATTTGGCATGCGGTTTCAAGCAGGTGTGGGATAAACAAAATGTGAAGATCTCAGATTAAAAATCCAGAGCCAGTTCCTTAATCTTGACAGACCATTGTGTAGGAGAAGACTAGGCGGACAAAGGGTTGCTGTATTCTTTCCAAGTTCCTTGTTCTCTGCTGTCTGTTCTATCCCTGCTCTGTCCTCAGGGAAAGGAGCAAGTGGCTACAGGGCTCAGAAACTCTGAAAGTCCCTTTGCTAGTGGATTGGTTTATTGTTCTTCATTAACTGTGCGGAGTGGCATATGGAATCTTAGTTCCCTGACCAGGGATGGAACCCATCCCCCTGTATTGGGAGCTTGGAATCTTAGCCACTGGACTTCCAGGGAAGCCCCTTGGTTCATTGTTCTTGATTCAGAGAATTGCTCTGAACTCTGTCACATGGTGGTGTGCATCTGACTCGGTTGCCGCTTCCCCTCCATTCTGGGCTCTGGCCCCAGAGGTGGCCACTAAGGCTTTCTTCCAGGCTCATTCCCAGCCACTGTCTGTCCTTACACTTTCTCGTCTGGCGGCAGGTCCAGCATTAAAACTTGCAGCAGCCTCCCACACTCTTGAGAAATGTGGATTCATTCCTCAGGGCTGGACCAGAAAGTCTATGAGGCCACCATTCCCTGCCACTCCCTGAAGGGAAATGAATGGGGCTTTAGGGCTAAGCCCAGGGACACCACCCTGCCTACCCCCCACCACCACCCAATGCCCTCCTCCCTCCAAGGAAACTTGTCACTGTCCTTCCCTCCTAGGGTGACCAACTGTCCCTATTTGCCTGGTCTGAGGGGTTTCTTGAAACACGGGGCTTTGGATGCTAAAACCAGAACAGTTTTCCTCACTACTCAGAGACTTTTGGGGTCCACAGGTGACTTCCTTTGGGATCCTGGTTACTTCGCACTTAGGTGTCAGCCACTGCTTTTAGACAGTGAGCACCCTGAGCACAGAAACATGTCCTTAGTCTTTTCCCCTCCAAGACGCACAAAGTAACTGCTGAATGAATAAGTGAACAAGTTAATATTTGCAAGTCTTTATCAGACCTTACCTTCTGCCTGATGTGGTCACAAGATGCAGAGGGCAGTGCGACCTTCCTAACGTCTGCACTTCATCTGGGCATGTTGTCATCTGACCACAGATGCAGCCCTTCTCATGTGGAGGGGGGCTCTGGAGCTGCCAGACCTGAGCCTGGTATCTGGAACACCAGGACTATGTTCCAGAACCCCACCTGAGCCTCCTTTCTCTTCACTCTTGCTCATGAACTCAGTCTAACTTGGGTTGGGCTCCTACCTCAGTACCTCCGCTCATGACTGTGTCTGCAGTCCCGGCTGCAACACCTCTATCAGACATGGGTAGACTTGGGTGGTATGGCTTCATGTCCCCCACTTTGCAGAGGCCCCTGCCAAGGCCCTGAGCAGAGCCCTAGCAGACAGTTCAGTGTCCTGTGCTAAGTTATGGCATCTGCAAAAGTGGATTCTTTTTGTATTATTTTCTTAATCGGTGCCCTCCAAATTGTACAGGCTTCAATTCCCAGAGAACCATAATCCTCCCACTAGG